TGTTATGCTGATGTTTACCGAGATGGCACTGCTGTCGTGGGGTTTGTACGGAAAGAAGATATGACCTATGCAGTTCGAAAACTGGATAGCACTAAGTTTAATCTCATGAGGTAGGTTATACACTTATTCTTTTCTTTGGCCAGAATTGGATTTAGAGTCTTAACAGTGGAATTTGAAGATGAGGATTTCAGGCAAGGGTCCCCAAGTAAATTGCCAGATTTCTGGTTTTAGCTACATTGCATTCATTCAGCATGCCTGAAGACAGGTGAAAGCTTAGATCTCTCAGTGGAAAGTTCTGTCTATCCATTAGGGAGAAATTGCCTACGTCTGGGTTACAGTTGATGGGCCCAGAAGTTCAAGTTACAGAAGATCTTGATCTCAATGCCATGGTCATAGCAGAAGCCCTAGCAGAAGAAACAGCAGGAGTCGCAGTTACTCCCCAAGGAGAAGGAGAAGATCGCCAGGGTATTCTTCCCTTCATAGCAGATCTTGCTCTCATATATAAGATGATTGGTGACACTTTTTGTAGATCCCTTGTTGTATACAGTTTCTTTTACTCAGTACAATCTTTTCACTTTTTTAATTCAAACTGTTTTGTTCAGAATGTGCTAAAGTGGGGACCAGGAATTGGCGTAATGGCTATGTCGAACATACCCACTATGCCAACTGCTGGTCCCAAGGGGAAAAAAAATTCTCAAACTTTGGTTCCAAACCACTAATGCCTCCAGGTGAGTCATGAGAAAGGCTAGAAACCCAGAGATTAGCCTAGCATGCTGGGATGCTTTTATCCTAATGGTATTTGCTCACTCTAAAGAAGTATCTGAGGTGACCAGCAGATGGCGTAATCATTACATTGCTGGACTCCAACATGGTAGACCCCGGTTCTAGTCACAGACCCAGAAGCTTGAAATTCACGCTGTGTGTGTGTGTGTGCTTGTCCAAATCCCAAGAGGAGAATGGAGAAGAAAGGACCGTGGTGGCATGGCTTGATTTCTTGCTTTCTGTCTCTCTGTCTCTCTGTCTTTCTAGCAAGCACACACGCCCCATAGCAAAAACCTAAAAAAAAAAAAAAAACAGAAAGAGCTAAATTGTTGGATTGCATTCTTGCGTAATATCTCCTTGCTCCTAACATCTACATTCTCTTCATGTCTTTGATAAAATATATTGTAAGTGATGCCATAGACAGGATTGTTTAAATTTAGCTAATTCTCCACGCACTTCAGACTCTGCTATTGTGTAAATGTCTATTCTGCTCTGGTTTATGTGAAATGGGATGTTGTGGGTATTTGTGGATATCTTACCTGGGGAAGTCCTTAGGTTTATCTTGCTTTTCATGTGTCTTTCTGTAGACATATCTGAAGAGATGGATTAAGGATGCTTTGGATTAAGGATTGTGGAGCATATTTCAATCATTTTAGGATTATCAAAAGGAGGATTGAGGAGGATCAGATCAGTAATGGAGGCAATGGTATGACTGTGTCACAGTGCTACTGTCTCAGATGAAGCTGGCAGTATTGACCTGATACTAAAAAGCAAGGGTTAAAAATGATTACATACATCCATCTTAAAACACTTGCAACATCTTACACAGTTATCTTTAGCTATAATTGCTTTGTTCTTTAATCCTCGGCAATTGTGGCAAAATTACATTGCCCATGTTATAACTATTTTGCTCCCTTCCCCCACTTTTTTGTTTTAATAGGGACTGATGTGGGAAGAACTGGCTAATCTGTCACAATGCTTAGTTACAACTGTTAATGTGTGACCTGCTGTTGGTGTACATGTGGGTACAGGGTGTCTTTAATTCCAACGAGATAGAGTATAATATCAATACTGCTAAATCTGCATGTCTTCTGTGTGACTGATAGAATGTTGCTATTTCATTTTTTAAGACAAAATGAAAGCAAAATATGGAATTCCAATGTATTGATGTAGATAATCTAGTTGGGAATACTTTTAAGTCTTACCTTCCCCTTTAAACTAATACTTAAAACACTTTAATTTACAAATTAAATTGCAGATGGGACCTAATGGTTTAGACTTAGGTGGGTAGAAATACCAGTAAACTTTACATCTACATAACTTCTTGCAACCACAAAACCTGTAATATGCTGTACAGTAACAAGTGTTGGCATTATCAGTTGAACTGCAAATATAAAATGCTTCTTCCAATTAGTCTCTATGATGATTAAGTTTCTAAGATTTATCTGAACACCATTCAGAAACTTGTTTTGGGGAATTTGATAGTTATTGATGTACATCTGTTAAACTGATGACAGACATAACTCATCATTCCCCAGAAACCCTTTTTGATTACAGTATCTAACATTTTGCCTCCTCTTTTTTGGTTTTGCTGGTTATAAAGGTTTGGATTGGAGAGGGCTCACTGGATCCCAATCCTTGGAGCTGGATCATTGGATCAAATCATAATGTGGATAGGATAGGGAGGATGAATTACAAGGATTCATGGAGCGGGATCATATTACCAGGAACATAGGAGTGGATTCCTGCCCCAACCAAACCGCATTCGTGTGGATTTTTTTTTTTTATTCAACTTAATTGGCTATTCCAAAGATTTTTTTTTTTCCTATTTTTGACGATTGGAGCCCTTAAGATGCACGATGGAATTGTGTTTTGCATTTTTTGGTAAAAGGAGCAAAGCGAGGACCTGGAGATAAACGCTGGAGCAATCTCCTTGGAAGGATTCAGCACGAGTAGATGGTAAACATTTAAAGGGGAAAGGGGGGGTTTGTTTAAAATAGTAAATCAGTAAGTCACTTCTAAATTTAAAGAAAACAAAATTGGAGTTGAAGAATAAGTAGGTTTCCAATTGGGAGTCCGGGATTTGAACCTTAGTTGACTACATGGGAGTCCAGTAACATATAGCCATTACACCAACTGCTGGTCCCTAGATTCATGGAGAAGGATCATATTATCAGGAACATAGGAGTGGATTCCTGTCCCAACCAAACCACATTCATGTGGATTTTTTTGTTTTTACTTCAATTTAGTTGGCTATTCCAAAGAATTTTCCCCCTATTTTTGACAATTGGAGCCCTTAAGATGCACAATGGAATTGTGTTTTGCATTTTTTGGTAAAAGAAACAAAGTGAGGACCTGGAGATATAAGCTGGAGCAATCTCCTTGGAAGGATTCAGCACGAGTAGATGGTAAACATTTAAAGGACGAGGTGGGGTTGTTTAAAATAGCAAATCAGTAAGTCACTTCTAAATTTAAAGGAAACAAAATTGGAGTTGAAGAATAAGTAGGTTTCCAATTGGCTATTGCCGATTTTCTTTGAAAAATAAATGTTTTTTAAAAATCTGAAAAAAAAATCAATCCTATGTTTTAGTGTGTGTTGGAGGGAAACCTTGCAGATCTTTGGTCCACTCTTTAGGAAGTGATGGTATCCTTAGCTTTGAGCTATAGTCAGAAATACCAAACAGGAACATTTTCTTTTCTTTCTTTTTTCTTTTAAAAAAAATCATTTTATTTAACTTTATTTGTTATTATTTTCCAGTTTGATCAGACAGAGAGAGAGAGAAAGTGAGAAAGCAAGCCACCAGGTCCAGGACTTGAACTGCAGTCAGCCATGTGGGAGTCCAGTGCCTTTAACCACCATGCCACCTGACCCCCCCCAAACAGGATATTTTTTATTCAAACTTTTTAAAAATAATTATCTATTTAATTTTTATTTATTTATTTATTTTAACTTGACCAAAGAGAGACACGGAGAGAAAGAGGGGGAAAGTGAGAAAGCAAGCCACCAGTCTGGGACTTGAACCCTGGTCAACCATGTAGGAGTGTCCAGCAACTTAACCACCATGCCATCTGCTGGCCCCCAAACTTTTTTTCTTAGAGAAATTTTCTCTATAGGGCACACACACTTGCTGGAAACACAGAGAGACTTAGAGAGAGAAAATTAGAATTAACACCCCCCCCCAAGGGAGGATGACCATGCTGCAGTCCCTACTGCTCTGTTCGTGGGATTTTGGGCACATATGCACATGAATCTGGTGTGAGTTTCAAGCTGCCAGGTCTGGGACTTGAACCATGGTTGGCCATGTGGGAATCTAGCACCTTAACCACTAGGCCACACGCTGACCCCTTATACTGTGGAGAACCTTGCCTAGTACAAACACCAAGAATGAATCTTAATATAAACTTAATAGAAATATGGACATTGGATGATAATGATGTCTCGATGTAGGTTCAATTGTGACAAATATTACCATAATTTATAATATCAATCGTGGGGAAATGCTATAGTTTGAATATATCCCTCAGAATTCATGTGTTAAGCCATCATAACAGGATTAAGAGGGTAAAACCCTGATTAATTATTGTATGGAAGGATGGGAGGAAACCAGACAGTGTCACTTGAATACAGACCATGCTTTGCTCTGCTCAAGTTCTGCCTTCTGCTATTTGTTATGCTTTTGGACTTTCCAGCCAGCAGAATTGAATCAAAATAAAACTTTATTTTTTTTTTATTTTATTTTTTAAGAGATTTTTGCTATAGGGTGCATGCACTCGCCAGACAGAGTC